TATAGATTTGTATAGATTTGTATAGATTTCTATTACCTGAAATGATTTCTATAGATGGAGGCCAGCATTAATCCAGGTGAAGTTTTCTTTAGGCAAAGCTCAGAGTCAACCTTTCCTTTCGGTTTTCAAGTGCTGGGCAGCGATGTATCTTTATCAACTGACTCCTAGATCTACGTGCTGGTTCCTCCAGACCCTCTTAGACTCCTGGGTCTTTTTAGGCACGCTACATTGGCGATTCTGAATCTTTCCTTTCCCATCTGAGCCTAGCTCTCATTTCTATAGAATAGGAGTTAAAGGACTGAATATCTGATAACCTTTACTCCCCTAAAACCTAATGACTTAATAGTACACAGAATGAAGTACTGCTGGAACCTAAAGATTTTACAATGTACAGAATGAAGTACTGCTCGGGGCCTCGTCCCTGTTTTTAACCATGTTTTGATGTAATGTCAGAGAAAAGTTTATTTTGTTCTTTTTGCTTTACACTATTATTTGAACTTTCTCACGAGACATACGGGATTTGGCTTCACTAATTAGTTCAAATTCACAGAGATAAAAATGCCAGCTGGATGGGGAATAAACAGGAAAAGCACGTTTTCTAGTATCTCGAAGCCTTGTAGCATCATAACGGAACTTTCTTTAAGGGAAAGCAGGGAGAGATAAGAGAACACATGCTGGCCGAGGAGGCGAGGGAGAGAGCACCTAATTGAGATGTGTGGGCGAGCCAGCTCTGGACGGTTCATTCCTGTTTTTAAGAGGACCGCCCTATACACTACACATACAGGTGAGAGAGGGGGAGGGAGGGAGGGAGGGAGGGAGGGAGGGAGGGAGGGAGGGAGGGAGTCTGTTTGTGAAAGTGTGCTCTTTAGGGGAAGTTTTACCACCTTTTACTCTGTACCACTGACTGTTTCTTCACTTAGCAACACGTGTTGATTCTCAGCTGTCTGAAGAGTCAAGCGGGAGATGAGCAAACGGAACTACTGTCTCTGCGGCGAGTCACCTCCATGGCGGGTACTCACTTTACTGCTTGGGAAATGCTCGTCCGCATCTTCATCCAAGCAGATCAGGTCTCCCGCCACCACTTTGGGTCCGTAGGCTGCCAGTCTGTAAGACGCTGCCTCGTTCCAAACCCTGCTACTGTATGCGTGGACGTAGAAGATGCGCATGGAATGGGGGAAGGAGAACCAGGCCTGGACGCAGCCTTCCTCCGTCACGCCGAAGCGATGCAGCGACTCCAGCAGCGCCCGCTCTCGGACCCGGAACTCCGGCATCAGTGAAAGCGTGCCTTTAGCATCCTCTGAAATGAAGAGCAAACCAGCCCGGAGGTACTTCTACTGCAGAGCTGTTTGCGGGATGCCTTTTCAAGCAGTCTAAATGAAAGGCAATCCTTTGTGGAGACACTGAGCATTACCGGTTAAACCTAATTATACTTGAAAAAGCTTGGTTTTTGTTTTGTTTTTCGGTTTTTGGTTTTTTGAGCTTTTATTTTCCTTGAAAAATAAGAAAGAACAAATAAACCCAGCAATAGCAATGGCTGACCAGACTCCCTTCCTTTAGAACAGAGTTAATCTAATTCAGAAGACTGCTAAACAAAAAGAACCTATCACCAAGGATCTAATAAACCGGCAAGCTGCAGGGGTCTGGGAGTTTCTAAAGAAGAGTTATGGACATCCAATAGAACATCAGCGAATCAACAGCAGCAATCTGTAGCCGAGCTAATGGGAGGCTTTTTAAAATGTACAGTGCTGAGCTCCGTACACACTTATTCACGGAGAGCCCTGTAACTGATGTTTGCTAAACGTCCTGGGTACTTCTTGGGTATGCTAAAGCTTTGGACCGCATGGCTTATGTGCACCTGTGAACAATTCTGTACATACACACCAGACTGAAGTGTTCAAAGTGGAGTCAGGAAGACACGACGGCCCCTCACAAAAAATTGTTAAGAAACTCGAGATCACAGACTCAGTCAAGGGCTTCGATACTTGCTGGGGCCCTACCACCATCAGAGGCAGTGTGAAGTGGACCTCCTGTTAGCAGTGGGCTATCCCACTGGCCTGCTCCCAGGGACCTAGCAGCTGCTATGTCATCACCTGCTGCCACCAGTTGCACCAAGTGTGTGCCTCACATGAAAAGGCCTCCAGCCACCCAAGGTCCCTCTCTGCTTTCTCTCTCTCTCTCTCTCTCTCTCTCTCTCTCTCTCTCTCTCTCTCTCTCTCTCTCCCCTCTCCCGTTTCCTCCCCCACCCCCCCCACCCCGTCTTCTTATCTGTCTCTGCTATTTCTTACAGAGTCCACTTTTGAAGAGAGGCCCGTGCAGGACGTTTGTGTGTGCCTTAACTACTACAGATCAGTAAAGAAACCTACATACCAGTTTGGAGAAAGTATTTCTTTGCCTTATTGACAGGATCATCCGTGTCTTCTGGTGTAAGAAATAATTTTATGGCCTTCACCTGGAGAAATTAATCAAGTAAAGATGTTTTTTTTTTTTAAATGGCCAATTACTTAAAAAAAAAAAGAGAAAGAGGCAAATTCTTAGGCATCTTTAGAGGACTGAAAATGTTGCAATTTCCTCCTTTAGCTTAGCACACTTCGTTTCACATGTAGAGATATCCTTTGATACAAAGTAACATACAAAGTAACAACCAAAATATTACACTGGAAAGGCCCTCCCCAAGCACTTCTGCAATTACACTTCTGACATTTTTTTTTAATTTTATGTATTTGAGCACAGCTCCCATTTCTGCCATTCTTTATTCAGCCAAAATAAGAACATGGACATAAAGGCATGACATAAACACCCAGACTTTGCCAACAGGGATGAAGACAGGGAAGGAAGCAAGAATACCAAAGCCACTGGTTTCGATTATATCCTCAATGTCTTTGACATTTTGGGTCTTACAAAACAAGTTATGGCTGGCAAGATGATTTGGTATATAAAGGCGCATGTCACCAAGCCTGATGACCTGAGTTCAGTCCCCAGGACACACATGGACAGAAAGAACTGACTTTGGCAAGCTGTCCTCCACACTGGCAAAATAGGATAGAAAGTGTCGACTTAGATGTTTTATTTAGGGCTGGAGAGATGGCTTAGAGGTTAAGAGCACTGACTGTTCTTCCAGAGGTCATGAGTTCAATTCCCAGCAACCACATGGAGGCTCACAACCATCTGTAATGGGACCCGATGCCTTCTTCTGGGTGTGTCTGAAGACAGCGACAGTGTAGTAGCTGTCTACTACACACAAAATACACATATACAAACAAAATAAATCTTTAAAAAATATTTTTTTATCTAACATTTTAATAGTTTATTTTAAATCATGCATGTATGTGACGTTTCTTTCTTTCTTTATTTTTCTCTAATTTAGAAAAGGCATCTACTCAGTTCCTGTTACTATATCACTGTATGTACACTAGGACTGCTTTCTAAGAACCTAGCTCATAGTATAAAGGAACTTAAAGTGACTCAATCATTTCCCACTTTCCATTCCATCTTCTACAGCACTGATCTAAACAGATGTTCATAAAAAGCTAATGCATCCGGTGCCTGTTGATTGTCTGTCGACCTGGCACATGCCCAGGTCTCCTGGGAAGAGGGAGCTTCAACTGAGGGAATGTCCTTATCGTATTGGCCTGTGGACAAGTCTGCAGAACATCTTCTTGATTTAACGAATAATGTGGAGGGGCCTGTCCAGTGCCACTCTTGGGCAAGTGGGCCTTAAAACAAGAGGAGCAAGTCAAGAGAGCAAGCCAGCCAGGAAGCAGCATCCCTCCATGGCCTCTGCTTCAGTTCCTGCTTCCAGCTTCCTGCCTTGAGTTCCTGCCTCAGTTTCCCCTGGTGATGGATGATGTTTGAAAGCCAAACAAACCCTTTCCTCCCCAGGTTGCTGTTGGTCATGGTGTACTGTCACAGCGGTAAGAAGCCAACTAAGATAACATCCAAGCAAATACTGAGCCTCCATGACATGCTGAGGACCGTGTGGTGTCTGATGGGTAGAAAAGACTGAGCAATCTCAAACAGACAATCAAAACAAAATATAACAAGATGAGAAATCCCAGATCACAAACTTAGAGGCCATTTTAGCTGACTCACAGAATGTAAAGATTAGGGCGGTAGTGCCGTAAGCTGAGAAAGAATATGTGGTGTGCCAGCTACAGGAACAGGCCTCCAAGTTGTCTCTCATGATGCCCTTGGTACCTATGCCTGGCACAGTCCTCCCCACATGTATCAGGTCTGGTATAATGTGAATCCAAGAATATGGTAGCTGCCTAATAAATCTGCAGTGATACTAGGCAGGATACATAATGCATGTGTCAAATGTATGTGCATGCACATACATGTAGTTATATACCACAGTTAGGCATGCAGTGAGCATATGTAATAAATACAAGTAACTAGTTAGGATGATATTTTTGAAAATTCTTACCATTTCATTCTTCAGTAGAGCCAATCCAATTCGGTCCGTTTGGATTTTCTTTCCTTTCCCAAATCTCTGTGGTCCGTAGTAATTCACAAAACCTTTACTCTATGAATATGACACAACGTAAGAAATTAGAGCTTCATAAATATAGTATAGTCAAATTCTTTCTCTTCGAATTTAATTGAGAAATTCAGTAATTACCAATAATACAGACAGAGAAGCTAAAGTGGTCTGAGAGATTTCAGTTACACACCAGAAGGAGCAGGGAGCAAATTTAAATTGGCCCGTAAACCTTCAGGGGCTGGGTGCAAAGGGGAGAGAGAAGAGGGGGCTGCTGAGAGTCAAGGCCTGCCTGGGCTATGTGAGACCCTGTCTCGAAAAAGCAATTTAGTGATAAATGGATAAGGTTTTAAAATACCCTTCAATTTACATTACTGAGGAGTTCCTGGCATACAGAACCTGACGTCCTAAGCCAAGAGAGATGAGGTATCCTGGGACAAACTGCTCACTAAACCCGGATCTCATCCCCCTCTCAAGCTCTTTCCTTCTTTGGGATTCCTCTGCTGTCGTGAGATAGCAGGAACAATGTACGGATTTCTTCTCCCAGCCCGCGGGCTGGGCTCCTTCATATTATTCACTAGCACATTTCCTTCCGAATTGGTTTCTTTCTCTGATATTTCCTGGAGAGGGATGAAGATGCCACCTCTGGACGCCATGCTTCAGAAATGTCATGTCACTCAGAAGAAATAGGAAGACGTTGGTCTGTTTGAAACATACGAGGCGAGGGAGATAGAGATGGATAGATAGATAGATAGATAGATAGATAGATAGATAGTCTGTTTGAAACATATGAGGCGGGGGAGATAGAGATAGATAGATAGATAGATAGATAGATAGATAGATAGATAGATAGACAGACGGATAGATATGCATGCATGGGCATCATCGAGTTTCTTGAAAGTTAAGAGTGCTCCATACACTTTATGAGAGGAGTAAACATTCGCTCAACTGATAATCGGGACTGAGTACCAACTCAAGGTTTGTCAATAAAGGACGCTAAGATAATTTTTTTATCAGTACAGCATGAAGGAGCTGTTTCCACTTGTAAAAATCAACTGCAGATAAGGTGGGTGTTCCCTATATTAAACCTCCGCTTTTTAAAACTTATTTTCAACTTGTATAAACAGCGTGGTAAACCTTAGGATAACTGGAACAATCATTAAGTATAGCCAAAAGTTTATAAGCAGACCTATAGCTCTCTAAAGAAACCTTCAAGAAATCCTTGTTCTCAAGCCACTCAACTTTTCTCATTAAGAGATTTTTTTTTTAAAAAAGGTTTATTGGCTGGCAAAATGGTATGGTGGGCAAGGACCTCACCACACAGGCCTGATGACCTGATTGTGGTCCCCAGAAGCCACAGTAGGAGAAAACTGACTCCTTAAAGCTGTCATCTGTGTATGTGCGTGTGCACACAGACACAATAATACTGAATAAATAAAAATAGCAAAAGACAAAGCTGTGTAAAGCTAAGATCATTTCCTATGCGAACTTCTCGATACACAGCGTATTTTCGTAAATACCAAAGCAGACCTTGTTATAAATGCTATCAGTCGGTGTTCACAGAACCCCTCTGTGTTTAAGAAGAGATCATTTTTTTAGTAACAGTTTTCAGAAAGGAAAAAATTAGAATTTCTAGGTAGGCTGGTCATGAAAACCAGATAGCACACAGATTACACAATCTAAGGAGTGTTCTATACAAGTCAAAGTGCATAACCTAAAGAACTTTAGTTGGAAGCTGCTAACTAACACAGGCCTCTTTGTGTTCCTGTCACTGAGGTGTAGGGTTGTGTTAAAAGTCTGTATATCTCAACTGTGGGACAGAATCATTTTAAAATAGGAGTTACTTTAAAGCATCAAAGCTGTAAGCCTAACTGGTTTTTTTTTTTCTTTTTAAAGTTGGTTTAGAATTGGAGACTAACTGTCAAAATGTTTTAAAAGTTCCCCAGGTTGAGAATTGCTTGTCTGGATCAGGTATGAGCAAACAGCTAGAGCCCACAGGTCAAATCTGGCTCAGCACTCACTTCTATAAACAAACGATCGTAATACAGCCATCCTCATGCCTGTACGCATCCATACCTATGGCCCCTCCTACACAAGTTCATGGAGGAGAGACAGGGAAAGGGGATAACACTTGAAGTGTAAACAAATAAAATGATTAATAATAATTTTAAAAAACCTTTAAATGTTGTACACTGGCTGGGCAGGTTGTATACATACATTCTCTCAGTCTGTAGAAACATATGTAAGAACAATTAAAGAAATAGAGGCCACAGGGTAAACCCATCTACACTACCACATGCTTTTGAGGGAAGACACCAGAGAAAACCTGTTTCAGAGACTGGTTCCCCTCTGCTGGGGATGGGCACACACTGTCTCTTTTAATATAGAACATATCAAGAAAAAAAAATATACTGGCACCTAATTATCATTTTAAAAATCAAGTATATTGGGACAGGAGGGTCAGGACCATTGGGGACACTCTACAGCTTGAATGAAGTAGAAGGCAGAAGGCTTTTCCCAAAAAACATTTACATGGTTATTTATTGTGCATGGGTGTTTTGCCCACACACACGTCTGCATCACTTGGGAACTCGATGCCAGTGGAGGCCAGAAGAGGGTGATGGATCCCCCTGGAACTGGAGTGGAAAAAAAAAAAAAAAAACACACACAGTGGGAAAAAAAAACCCTCATTCTTTTGTCTCAGTGAGAATTATAGAGATTTTTCTTAATACAATTTCAAAATTGAGTTTTCTTACCTTAACATTTTCTATTGCCTCCAGAATCCTCTCTCTCAGGTTTGCAGAATCATTTAGTTGATTTCTTAGATTTCTGATGATAATTTCAAAGTGATTTCCTCTTAGCTGACCGAGTCTGAGAGAATCGCCTACAGACCGAATATTAAACACATTCATTCTCTTCCTCTTAATTTCCTCTTCAATATTTTTCAACCTTGAAGTGATAAATCATACAATCAGTTAAATCTTAGTTTACAAATTCCATATTTAATACAAGCTTTAAAATGAAACTTGACGGGCAACTCCTATCAAAATGTTAAGTACAAAGGTGGCTGGAGAGATGGTTCAGTGGTTAAGAACACTGGCTGCTCTTCCAGAGGACATAGTTTGATTCCCAGTACCCACACGGCAGCTCACAACCATCCGTAACTCCAGTTCCAGGGGGATCCGTCACCCTCTTCTGGCCTCCACTGGCATCGAGTTCCCAAGTGATGCAGACGTGTGTGTGGGCAAAACACCCATGCACAATAAATAACCATGTAAATGTTTTTTGGGAAAAGCCTTCTGCCTTCTACTTCATTCAAGCAGTAGAGTGTCCCCAATGGTCCTGACCCTCCTGTCCCAATTTGTCCATTTCCCTCTCAGGGTCTGTCCCACCAACAAACCCACCAGCATCAGAGATTCAGTTCTGAACACTTCCTTACTCAAACTTTTAGAAAAACATATTTTAGAATCATATAAGAAAAAAAGAAGCTGGGCAGTGGTGGCGCATGCCTTTAATCCCAGCACTTGGGAACCAGAGGCAGGCGGATTTCTGAGTTCGAGGCCAGCCTGGTCTACAGAGTGAGTTCCAGGACAGCCCGGGCTACACAGAGAAACCCTGTCTCGAAAAACCAAAAAAAAAAAAAAAAGAAAAAAGAAAAAAGAAAAGAAAAGAGAAAAAAATTGCAAGTATCAATTTTTCTTTATATATACTTTTTTTCAGCTTTTATTAAAACTGCCTATGCGATTTGATAGAGTGCTTATTGTCCTCTCAATATATTTCTTGATTTCTAGATCTGCTATAGGCTATTACTTGAAGAGTCATTGAAATTCTACACCCACAGACCAAATCAAAATAATCTTGCTTCTCTTCCTGGGTACTAATCATCATATTTATTGCCTTTGGGTGTTAAAACTTAGCCTTTGTCTTAACAGTATGATATCTGAATTCCTATAATCCAGACCCCAAACCAAAATTATCACCACTTCTATTCATGTATAGGACTTAAAAGCATCTCTGTGCAAATAGTACGTACTTGAAAAAAAGGTTTATAAATTTTTATGTCTTCAATTACACTTTTCTGAATGCACGTGCATATTTGAACAAAGTATCGGTATTTATAAACAATACAGACACTTTATAATCAAATCTACCACTTGTCAGTATCTATCCTAAGATTTCCTAATTTTTGTAAGATTATTTTTTCTTTTATTATGTGTGTTTGTGCGAATGCATGCCGTGTGTGAGGGGCCAGGATAGGACACAGAAGGACACTGGACCCTTGGAGCTGGATTGCAGGCAGGTGTGAGCTTCCCTACATGAAAGCCGGGAACTGAACTTGGGTTATCTGGAAGAAGAGGAAGTGTTTTTAACCCCTGAGCCATCTTGCCAGCCTCATACTTCATACATGTGCACATGTACATGCATGGCAAACAATTATTTTATTAACGTAGAATGTGCTGTTTAGTGTCTAACCAGTTAGTTAACACGGACAGTAAAGCTAAGGTGGTCCCAATATTATTTTGAGTGTTAACCCTACACTTTACCAGAAAGCAATACAGCATTACCTCTCCGGAGTCACTTTTCTAACCACCATTGATTGATAGGTGATTGCTTTCTTGTCTTTAAGGCCCGCGTAACTGAAATCCGAAGGAATAACACCAAGTTTGATGGCTAGAAAACCAATTGCTTCGAACATCTCCAGATTTTCCTTTTGTAGGGTAAAAGCTGAAACACAATAATTCTAGATTACAGAAAAGATGGCATCGTTCATAATTACATTCTTCGCAAACTAACAGGTTAGGATAATAAACCTAATTATTAAGGGTAAAAGTGTGCTTTAAAGCATTTGTTGGCTCATTCAAGGTGTGAATTAAAAATTCACATTATTTCCCTGGGCTTACAGGACCACCTTCCATTCTCCATATAGACCATTGATGGGAAAACCTCTGGCGCGGTGTGTGAAAGCATCACCTGTCAATAAAGAGCTGAACGGCCTATAGCAAGGCAGGAAAGAATGGGCAGAACTTCCGGGAAGAGATAGGAATTCTGGGAAGGAAGGCAGCTGTGGGTGATTCGCGACCGAAACACAGAGGAAGTTGTATGGCATTAATTCATAAATAAATTATCCTCCGTGTCATTATTCGGGAACTGGGGTGGACATAGAAAAGCCCTAGCGGTTACAATCCATTTTCATTAATATATCCTAAATTCCAACACGTAAGACTCCTGGTTTGTTGCGTTTTTGTTCAATCTTCCGAATATAATAATAGCAGTTCTGCCTCAGGTTCCAAGGTTGAATGCTCCATAGCAAACGCTGTACTTACTTTACAAATCACATGAGTGCTTATATTAACAGATGAATAATCAAAAATATAAAGCAAGCCGGGCGGTGGTGGCGCACGCCTTTAATCCCAGCACTTGGGAGGCAGAGGCAGGCAGATTTCTGAGTTCAAGGCCAGCCTGGTCTACAGAGTGAGTTCCAGGACAGCCAGGGCTACACAGAGAAACCCTGTCTCGAAAAACCGAAAAAAAAATTATATAAATATAAAGCAAAATGGTGGTTGCAGGGATCTGAAAGGAAAGCATGCTAATTCAGTTGACGCTGATGTCAGAATAGGAAGATGGTAAGATTCAGGAGATGATTGGTGGCAGTGGGTGATAAGACAATGGTGGACCGTAGAGACTGATCAGTCATTAAGGCTAGGCTCACAACCAAAAATCTCAGGAATGAATAAAATGGCAAATTTTATATAATATACATTTTACTGGATTTTCTTAAACATTTAAGGCAGCGGTTCTCAACCTACCTAATGCTGTGAGCCATGAACACGATTCCTCATGTTGTGGTAAGCCCTACACCATAAGATTATTTTCAATGCTACTTTATAATTGCAATTTTGCTGTAGTTACGAGTCATAATGTAAATATTTTTGGAAACAGAGGTTTGTCAGAGGTTGAGAATTGCTGAGTTAAAGGTTGGTAAATTTATTACATAAGTACATTAGATATGTGTATGAACACATGAAGGCAGAGATATTTTTATATATGATATTTTGATTCTTATAAAAGGTCGCCTAAGCAAAATTGTTCATTTTGCTTTTGGACACCAATATCATCATCATATTGGCCTCTTAGTGAACCATTAATTCTAACTTCAGTAAAACTAACGAATGCATAAAAAGATTCTAAGATCTTGACTCATTATCCCAAATCACTGATACTATTTCAAGTAGTATAAAAAGTTAGAAGCCCTAAGAGGAGATGCAAGGATCTCCCTGGGAAGGGGAAATAGAACAGATCCCGAGGGGGCAGCTGGGGACTGGAAGGGATGGGAACAGGAGGGATCAGGTGTATGTTGGGGAGGGGGGATACTGGGAGAAATGACTGGAATTGGAGAGGCATTTTGGGGGGTAAAGTAGAAACATAGTACAATGGAAAGTCCATAGAACCTAGGAGGTGATCCTTGCAAAGACTTCTAGTAATGGAAGACACAGAGCCTGAACCTGTTCTCTTCTGTAATTAGGCAAGGCCTCAAATGGAGGGACTGGGACATCAACCTAGCCACAGAATCTTTGACCTACAGTTTGTCCTGCCTGCAGAATGACTGAGTAAGCCGAATCAAAGTGACCCTAGAGACTTCATCCGCAACTGATGGAACCAGATGCAGAGTCCCACCACCAAACATTAGGTGGAGCTTGGGAGTCATGCAGAAGAGTGGGAGGAAGGATTGGAAGAACCAGAGGGGTCAGGGACACAACATGAGAACACAGTCCACAGAATGAACTGACTGGGACTCATAGGGACTTGTAGAGATCAGAACTGTAGGGGTCTGACCTAGGTCCACTACGTATGTGTTACGGCTGAGTAGCCTGGTGTTCTTGTAGGAATCCTAACAGTAGGAGAGGGGCCTGTCTCTGACTCTTCTGCCTACTTGTGGACCCTTTTCCTCCTACTGGGTTGCTTTGTCCAGCCTTGATGTGCCTGTCTTATTGCAGTCTATTATGCCTTGTTTGGTAGATGTCCCTGGGAGTCCTGCTCTTTTCTGAAGGGAGGTGCAGGGGGTGGTGGATCTGGAAAAGAAAGGAGGTGAGGGGGTCAGAGACTCGGGGGAGGAGGAGGGGAAACTTTAGTCATATGTAATATATGACAGAGAAACAAATAAACCTTAGAGTTAGTTAAATCATGCAATCCCTTCCTATAAGTCAGCAAATCACTTTAAACCAGCAATTCTCTTCCTACACCTATTTTTACCTTTCCTTCAAAATAGATCAACTCGCTCATAGTATCGGGTTTTTTTCCCCATACTCACATTTGAGGATGCTAAGCTTTAAACCTATGAAAGATCTCCCCAGTCCAAAGCGGTTAACGATGCCCGTAGTCCCAGCACTTAAGCTGGAATTGGAGATCAGCCTCAGCTAAGTGAGGTCATGTCTCAAGGAAAGCAGAAGCTAGGAGGGCATCTCAGGGTTAGAAGGTTTGCCTTGCATGGACAGGGTCTTTAACCCCGCTCTGACATTTCACCTATGTCTTTGTGAACTGCTGTCAAGTAAAACCAAAGCCCGCATCCCTTCAAATTCGAAGGTCTCACTCACAGCAGAGTCCTGTGAGGCACGCACGGTCCTCTCCCTGTGCCGCATGCATGTGTGCCGACTGTTAAATGTCTGCTAGATGAACGTATAAGACGTGCTCATTGGAAACACGTTCTATCCTTCAAGTAAGATATACAGACCAATGGACCCCAGACCTGTCCTCTGATTTTTCATCGGATCCATTCAGACTGGGAAGACCTTCCTTAAAGCAGGAATTCCCAAGATACATTCTCCATGCCAAACTGGCAGGAAACGCTTCCTGGGGAAACTGAGGAAACTCCACTCTAACCCTTCTGATTCTGAAACTGAAACAGGGTTCAGAAAACGGGTTACAACGTTTTGAGAGGTTACAAGGCTGGCTGGAATGTGAGCACGCCTGCCTGATGAGCCAAGAATGCAGGCTCTATCTTGCATTGCAGAGTATCTCTTCCCTTCACAAGCAGACAATAGATCCATCTTACTCCAAACACTTAATTATGGTTGACATTATTCTGAAAACAGAAAAATCATTACTCCCAAAAATCGATCGAGCGCAAAACAATTGCTTCAGCTTTACCCATCCGAGACCGTTCAGTATAAATGTCTTTTTATGCATACTTAACTAGTTCGTTTTCACACTGAGCATAATATGCAAGGCATCGTCTTGCCCCAAACAACCTGTCCATATATTCTTTATACTAGCTCTATGACCAGGTCTAATTATTCAAATTATTCACCTTTCACAAATTGTACACAAGAAAATGATGAGTTACTAAATTACCTGTACACACAGCTTTTCTTCTGTCGCATTCCGGATGCGATCTCTTCCCACGTGCTTTTTCCCGGAATCTCACGGTTATGGCTGTGTTTGAGCTCCCAGTGCTGTAGTTCTGCCCAGGAAAAGACTTGGTTTCCACCAGGTTTCCGAACTTCTTGTTGAGAAAATGGTGCACGGCCTTCCTGTGATCCTTGTTTGGATCCGGGTTAAAGGTAAACTTGGAATTTTCTTTCTTTGAGTCCATATATTTGAAAAAGCCAAGTGCTTCTTCTTCAGACACCAAATGGCAGAGTTCTTTAAACTCAAGGTTCGGCTTTACAACCACTTCACTGTTGTTTCCTCTGGTTATCAAAAAGGGAAATTTCTGCCTAACAGCACTGTGCAAAACAGCCCTTTGGTTTTTGTCAAGGATCCTGCCTAGGGACAATTCAGGAGACGGTTCAATTAATTCAGTTTGTGAATTCCACATCCCTTTGATGTCACGGGCAAACTGATCCAGCAATGTGTGAGTTTTTTCATCTAAAAGTGAACTTAATATATCTATACTTTCTTCTTCACATTTAGAAGTCACACGGTTGACACTGTTTTCTTTTTCTGAGTCAAACTGATGGCTCTGGTCACCATCTGAACATGCAGGCTGGATCTGGTCACCATCCAAGCACCCAGGCAAGTCAGCAGCTTCTTCATTATTTTCATGTTCTAAGGATACACTCTGAATATTTAGCTTTGGCTTTTTGACAAAATTACTCGGTTCAGATTGTATTTTACTAATTTCATAAAGAGATTCATCGGTGGCCTTACTAACTAATTGTCCCTGTTCATCGATCTCGATAACAATGAAGTCACTGGCTGAGCTTTTTATACTGCCCTGAAAGCCAACGTGATCATTGATGAAACACAAGGAGTTAAACCTGATGTCATCATCGGTGTCCTCTTCCATTCTTCACGGTGCCTACAAGAGAGACAGCATACTCAGCTACCAGAAACGGTTACAGATAAGAAGAATCAAAGTGGTCTTCAAGATCCACTCCGTTCTCTCCCTCTCAAGTCTATGTTCCCTAAAAACACAGGTCAATTTGGAGCTGGAGAAATGCTGCTTTGGCAGAGGACACCAGCTCCCTCATGGCAGCTCACAAACATCCCTAACTCCACGTCCTGGGCATCCATTGTCCCTTTCTGACCTCTGCCACCCACTGGTCCCCAGGCACACCTGTGATGCCCATGCATACACATACACAAAATCTATATGATAAAATAAATAAACCTATTAAAAATGTTTAAATTTGCCAGGCTGTGGTGGCACACACCTTTAGTCCCAGCCCTTGGGAAGCATAAGTAGGTGGATCTTTGTGAGTTCAAGGCCAGCCTGGTCTACAAAGCAAGTCCCAGGACAGCCAGGGCTACACAGAGAAATCCTGTCTCAAAACCTGTCTCGAAAAACAAACAAAATGTTTAAATTTGCGAGGTGGTGTGATACACACCTTTAATCCCAGCACTCAGGAGGCAGGGGGTGGGGGGGGAGCGGAGGATCTTGTGAGTTCAAGCCGGCCTGGTCTACAGAACAAGTTCTGGGACAGCCAGAAACCAGGACTATAAAGAGCCTGTCCTGGAAAAACAAACAAAAGGGTGTTTTTTTTTTTTAAGTGTCAATTTCAAGTTTATCTGAAAAATAGTATCGTTAGTCCTACAAAGAAGAGAGAAGAAAATGGGACTGTTTTTACAATGACTGTCATCCCCAGAACCTCAAAATCCCCTGGAGCTAACTTCAGAGACTGTGGTAGTGTTTTTATACACTGAAACATGAGGAAAGATAAGAAAGGAATGTCTACAGTAAATAGGTACATGAACTCTGTACTACTTCAAAGTAGGATAAGTCAGCCCTGAGTCCTTCATCTTTTTCTAAATTTCCTACAGGAAAGATACAAAATTCTCAAGCTGATGAGAGGGAATTTCTACCAAATCACTGGTGTCGGAGAAAAGAAAGCCTCATGGTGTTTTCTTGGAGCAGAGACGCAAGGGTAATTCCATAGGGAGCGAATCCCAACACAGCCAACTATCTCCACACCACACGGAGCCCTGGGAAAGCAGCTCCACTGCCTGACTCTTGTGTTCCCCAGACTTTACAAGTAAGTGATCATCTACATCCTCAGAGGTTTTCACCGACCAATAATCTAATCTCTGGGATTTGTCTATAATCTATAGGAGGAACTTGTTTTTTCTTTCACACACAAAAGAATAAAGAAAAAAACTGATTTAATTTTCTGTATAACATGTCTAGCTAATGTGTTCATTATTTACTGTCCATCTTCTTCCACATGAGCGGGAATTCTGCCTTATGCAATACTGACTAGCCCACATTCAGAACAGCACCAAGCGCATAGTAGGTCTGAGGTAGATACTAGCTGAACAGAGATACAGAGTAGTGGGGATGGGGAGAACACAGCTGAAGTAATGCTGACTAGGAAAGGTAGAGAACACACTGTCAGAGGTTGGCATCTGCCCCTTGGAGGTGTTTCTAATGACAGCTCTAAGTCCACAGGGGTTCTAGGAACCCTAAAACAAAGAGCATGGGAAGGCTTTCCAGGCTAGACGTGGAGACAGTGCAGCCTGAAGGCATGGCAGCCAAGCAGCTAGGAAAGAGGCGGACTGCAAAGGCAGGCAGACGGGGCACGTGGGGGCGAGGGTGGCAGGAGCTCCTCCTCCGCTCCGCAGGGCGAGCCCAGGCTGCGGAGAGACCCCAACCCACACCCCTACCCCATTCCAGTTCCTCGGCGCCCGCCACCACGCCTTCCTTCCCGGTCCGCCAGTCTTGGACCCACGGGTGACCCGGCATCCCACTAGACTCTGCCAGCTCTACCTCGCTTCCGAGAGAAAGTGTTCCTCCGTGTGACCCAGTGCGCATGCCCAAAATTCCGCCGCCTTGCCTCTTACGGGGACATTTAAAGGGACAGGCTCACGTTAGTGTAGCTCCTCCCTGGGTGGAGCTCGGAAAGGGAAGGGCGTGGCCTTCCGGGTTGGCTCCGCCCCTACACTCTCACCCTTAGCTGACCGGCCCTCCCTGTCCCGTAGAAAGATCTGGTACCCCGGGGCCCGCATCATCCGGATCGCAGGCAGTCTGAAGTCTCCTCGTGGCCCAGCGTCCTCCACTCCCGAGTCCTCGCCGGACCGTGGCGGGGCGCCGATCGCCTTGTTCAGGAAGCGAGGAACATCAGAGAGGAAGTAGGTTGTGTGAGGAAGGCTGATCTCGGGCCACGGTCTCGCCGCTGTCCTCTGTCCCGGGCCGGGTTGGCGATCAGTCGCTTCGCCCCAGAACCAGGAAATGGGCTCATTCCAGCAGAGGAGGCTTGGGGAGCCCCACAGCCTCTGCGCGCTGGTCCGCCGGGTGTCTTCGCTTGCACGCAATGGGGCGCATAGGAAGCTCACAGTCCATCAACAGGTAGAGGGAGAGGAAAGCGCAGGATAGATTGGAAGCAAGAGAGGGGCAGGAAAAGCAAAGCCCAAAAGAGCAAGAAAGCACCATTAGCTTTCAGAATGGGCACCACAGTGGCCCCAAAGCAGGAGATTTTTTTTTCTTTTTATCCATTTTTTTTCCGTTTCTGGGAGTAATCCTTCATGATATATGCCAAAGAGATCAGGTCTCCTTTATTCCCCTATTTTCACGCTAAACATTTTTGCTTCCTACATGTTCCAGACTGACCTGATCACCCAGGCCAAACTTGGGTCTTCCAGTCTTGTAGTTGATTGCACTGCAGAATACATCCAGCTCCGGGACACGAGGGCCTCTTCGAACATCCACATACATTTTTGAGCCCTCTTCTAGCTGGATCTTCCGGCTTCTGTGTCTTCACTCCCGCGCCCTGTTCTCCAGGCAGCCCCACTTAAGGTATGGATATAGAGCTGTCTTCATTGCTCTCTGAATGTCCACTGTCTCTTCATCTCAAGTTAGAAGAAAGTCAAGTCTGAAGCTTTAAGACTCTGGGAGGCCAGTCCCTTGTCTCTAACCTCACTCACTCCTTGCTGTTCTCAGTGGAAACTGTTAGGTCTCAAACCCAGGACAAACAGCTAACTGAGATGCCTATCAACGTATCAAAGTAGATGCTGGCTACCAGGTTCTCCTAGCACCCTGTAGACTCTGCTTGCTACAAGATCCTCCTGGCTGGCACACCCCCACCTCCCACCCTGAACGTCCCAGCTTCCCACCCTGCTGCTCCTCTGGTCCCTATATAACAGCCATTTTGGCTTTTCCAGTCCCTTGGTCAGTCTCACCCAGGCCACCTGTCTTCCCCCTCCCCCTCTCTCCTCACATGGTGAGGCTCAGACTGTCTATGTCCACTCTGGACTCTTCCAGATAGCTCTGTCAGTGTCTCTGGCTATGCTCTCCTCGTATCTATAATAAACCTCCTCAGTCCCTCAGGAACAACCATGCCCCACCCCTCTCATTTCTGTTTTTCATTCAGAAGCACCTCCAAGTTCCGTGCCTTCTACTCATTTTTCTCAGAAAGGTTCCCAGCAAGCACCTCGCTGATGAATGTTCTCGTTCCTGTGTCTTTCGTTAAGATCTCATGAGGCCCCCAGAGTGACAACCCCTTCTAACCCCTTTCTCTCTCCATCTGACACTGTCTTATTTACTTTTCTGTGACAGTGATAAAGCACTATGACCACAGCAACCTTGAGCTTAGGAGTCTAGAAGGATGAGGGCCTATTGCAGGCACAGTGGGAGAAGGGCAGTGGGAGCCTGCAGGCAGACAAAACGGTTGGGATGGAACAGGAGCTGAGCTCACTTATTGAGTGACATGCAGGAAGCAGAGAGAGCATGCTGGAAATGGCTCACGGCTTGAAACCTCAAGTCTACCTCCAATAACTTCCTCATCCTCCCAAACAGTCACGTGCTGGTTTGGATATGCTTGGCCCAAGGAGTGGCACTATTAGGAAATGTGGCCTTGTTGGAGGAACTGTGTCTCTATGGGTATATGGGCTTTGAGACCCTTCTCCTAGCCACATGAGAGACCCCTAATCTTCTCCTGTTTGCCTTTGGAATAAAATATAGAACTCTCAGCTCCTCCTCCACCATGCCTGCCTGGATGCTGCCATGCTTCCTGCCATGATGATAATGGACTGAACCTCTGAACCTGTAAGCCAGCCCCAGTTAAATGTTCTTTCTAAGAGTTGCCTTGGTCATGGCATCTGTTCATAGCAATGGAAACCCAAACTAAGACAAGTCACCAATTGGGAAGCAAGCACTCAAATGAGGAACACCTATGGAGTCCATCCCATTCAAACCACCGCAGACACTATTTAACAGACTGCAAAACGTATTCTTAGCTTGCTACCTTCTTCCTTCATTAGAATAAAACTTCCCTGTGTTCTTGCCTCCCTTTTCTCTCTATTCTTCTTAACGTTATATTTTTCAGGCACCTGGATTAATATCTGTGACAAATAGGACACGGTTTGGTGAATGGATGACATTATACATGTTAGTATATCCAAAGCATTTTAGTGGCCACTGAAGTCAATCAGTGTTCAGGAATCGTGGATGTCTCCTCCGCATCTGAACAGTCTTTTGGCAGATGCATCAGGAATAAATGGAGCTGTTGCCGGGGGGAGAGTCATTGGGAGAGCATATAGGAACATTGTATTTGGGTATAGGGGGGAGTTCAGACTGGGTAAAAGCATAAGGAAGAAGTGCCCGAGGGGAGGGGCCAGAGTGGGAAGGAACCAAAGGTTCTTATATAGGAGGAGGTTTGCTGGGCTTTTTGTTTGTTTTTTGTTTTGTTTTGTTTTGTTTTGTTTTGTTTTGTTTTTGAGTGTGTGTTTGTTGTTGTTTTCTTTTCTTTTTTTCTTTTCTTTTTTGGTCTGGTCCCTGTGTCTTTGGTCCCCATCTCAACCCAGTAAGGATTTGTTTGTGCCGAACCAACACTGTTCATAGAGGAGGGCACAAAGGCCACCCCTAATCGACAGGTCTAGTCTTTTGGCGCACTTCAGCAGCCAAGGAATTGAGCTGGCCCTGAAGGATGTTAAGCAGATTTGAAATGTAAGTTTTTCTGAGCTCTGATAGGACAGAGAGGTTAACTGACACAGAGAAGGCGTCAGTCCGGCTGCTTTGGTTCTGAGTCCTGGAAACAAGATCTAGAGCGGTAAGAGAAGGTTGAGCTGGGTGGTCCATTGGTCTCCCCCAGAGGTCAGAGGTCATCCAAGCTGATGATCCATTGGTCTCCCCACAGAGGTCAGAGGTCATCCAAGCTGATGGCCTATTGGTCTCCCCCAGAAGTCATCCAAGCTGCTCTCCAGGGCCTAGGGGAACTGGTTTCAACAGCTTCAAGGTGACAAAATGAGCGGATGTAGAAGGGACCGTAGGGTGCCTCAGAGGATGATCTATCTATCTCAGGAGCCACAATAAAACATAGCTGATCACAAAGATCCAAAACGATAGTCAGAAAGTACTAACTGTACAACCTTGTGGGAACATTGGGAAGCAAAGTTAATGAGTAGGAGGTTTTTTAGATGGAGATTAAAATGAGTTTTATTTAATAAGGTTAAATGATCAGTTGTTTCTGTGTCTGTGATGAAGAGGAACACCATGGCAGAGTGCACACAGTGGAACCAATCTGCTTACCTCATGGTATCGGGAGGGGCAGAGAGAATGAGGGAAGAGAGAAGGGGTGGGAGCGGGAACAGGGTTCACATTCTTCAACACACACCCCTAGTGAGCCTTTTCATACAGGTAGGCCTTGCTTCCTAACGTTACCACTAATTCCCAATATTCCATTAAGTTATGACTCCATCTGTGGATGAATACACATAGATAACAGGGGAACCTTCACAATCCAAACATACCACCCCCACCCCCAACAGTACTATAATAGTGACAAAGACTTCCAAATAAGAGCTTTAGGGAGATATTCCAATCCAAACCAAACCATACCACACCAGTATCTATAATGTATAAGTCACCGTTAATGAACAGAATGAGTTTGGTCCTTAACTCGTGAAGCTTAAAGTCTAATGGCAGAGAAAGGTGGTAAGCAAGCGACTAATCGTATGATTATAAGTACACTGTGCAGTGGTGAATGATTACTAGGTTGGGGAAAGTCAACCTGTTTACTTGTGATAGACAGTGAAGGCCAGAGAGAGAGAGTCCTAGCATAGAAGCCCACATACAAACAAGCATTCGCTTTTATCTTTTACTGTCTCATAGCTTTTATATGCTGTACCATTTGGATATATTACTTATGTACCCAAGATTAACCGTATTTTTTAAAAAATGAAAATGTATAGAAAGAAATCATTGAAAGAATAATACGAGTCTATTTCTCTTGATTAATTGGAAGGAAAGATTATTGTCTGCTGAGAATAAGGGACAGAGGAAGCACAGAGAGAGGTAAACATGGGAAATGGTCAACAAAGACAAGGAGGGAACAGTCAAAGGTTAAGTGAGTCCCAGAGGCCCAGTGGAAGGGCGTGTTCCCATTGGTCTGTGCAGTAATCCACAGTACAGGTGACATCGGGAGGTGTCTCTTAGCTGTGACTCTCCAAGGTGGGATACTAAGAACCAGGAGGATCTAGCAAATATCAAGGAAGTAGCCACAGTGACTGGCCCTGGATTCCACCTTACAGAAAACAGTAATCACGCAGGTCTCACAGGCTCAAACCAGTTCTTTTTGTACACTCCATAAAAAGTAGGTATACAGGTCTTTTAGTGGTATATACATTAGCTTTTTTTTAAAAAACTTTTACCAGAGATTTTTGGGTAAAAACCTTTAATAGTAGGTGCTGCAGAGATGCCTCAGTGGTTAAGCACTGTTGGCAGTGCGCAGAGGAACCAGGTTCAATTCCCGGCACACACATGGTGGCTCAAAATCATGAACTCTAGTTCAGAAGATCTGGTGCCCTCCTCTGACCTCCTCGGGCACCAGACGGGCACATGACGCACAGACATGCACGCACCCAAAATTCTCATACACATAAAATAGAATAAATACACCACTAAAAACATTTTTATAGTAAATGAGTACTAACTGAGAAATGAAAGATAGGTCTCTTGTTAATTTAATGCTTGACTCCTGAACAGGCTCCCAGGTCTCTTCCCGATAGGCACATTGCCTTTTATAAATTTCACTTGAAAAATTCCAGTGTCACAATGAAGTTTTCCAATGTTAGTTTGTGGGGGAAGAAAAGAAGAGTCCTGGAGGGTGATCAGATGTCCTTCAATAGGAGGTGGGTCGGAGAAAGAACTGCTTTGTGCTCAGAGGGTCAGATGCCAGCATCTCATGCAGTATAGCAGTGTGTGATGGGTAGCTTCTAGATGCTGTCTCTGAAACTGTTGTAAAGTTTTGTTATTGTTTCTTTAAGATAGTGTTTCCTCTATGTAGCCCTGGCTGTCCTGGAACACACTTTGTAGATCAGACTGGCCTCGAACACAGAACTTAGAGATCCACCTGCCTCCCGAGTGCTGGTATTAAGGGCATGCACCACAACCACCCAGCTGACTTGTAAAGTTGTAATAGGAATTTTTCGTCTTTCAGGTAGAAGATGAACAAGCCTTTGACACCATCAACATATGTACGCAGCCTCAATGTTGGCATCCTTCGGAAGCTGTCGGATTTTATTGATCCCCAAGAAGGATGGAAGAAATTAGCAGTAGCTATCAAAAAGCCATCTGGTGATGACAGATACAATCAGTTTCATATAAGGTAACGTGGTGTTTATTTTTCCTTTCTAAACCCTTCCCATCACAAGAAGGATGCGAGCATGACTATTGTCTATTGGGACAGTTTAGAAGGTGACCCTTTCTATCATGGTGGTGGTATTGATAATATATAGGTTTTTTTTGCACATAGAATTTCTGCTAAAATTGCCAGCATGTCAGAGCTAAAGTTGTGAGGCTGAAAATGTGTTTTTGAGCTTGAATCCAGCTCCCCATCTTTGTTCTAGTTCAGTTTGTTGGACCAGGAACAGTTTACTTTGCTTCGGTCTTCGCATGTCCAAACTGAAGAGGCAGAAGGCTAGTAGAAGAATCTATGATTTTAGAGTCTACACTTTGCAGTGTGTGAGTACGGATGAGTGCCCAGACACCCTTCCTCACCCAGGATTCTTGGATCTAGGATTTTCTAACAGCTTCCTGTAGTTGCCTCTCTTACATCTCTCCTCGATTTAGTAGAAAACACAAGTTTGGATTTTAATTTTGCACTTTGTCTTTTGTTTTTCAGTAAAATTCAGTATCAAATTTTGTCTTACATATAACTAAAAACTAAATTCTTCTTAATTTTTTTAATCGGTCTGGTAAAGACTCTAAAGCCTGGGCTCCCATATTGACCTTACAACAAATGTCTGCTCCCAGGAAGGCAAGCATTGTTAAGTACAAGGGGAAAGCTATTGTGTTTTATAAAAAGATACAAGAAGGAAGGAATAACATGGAGGCCCAGTATTGGTGTAGGAGAGGGGCGTGCCTCTGCTGGTCCATGCTGAGGCATCCCTTCCCTTGAGGGACCAACCACTGTAGTATAGAAGAGAGTTTATTTAGGGCATGGGGAGAGAAGTTGAGAGAAAAGCAGAGGGGTGGAGAGGAAGGAGGGAGGGAGGGAGGGGGAGAGGCTTGCCATGAGCACATGGAGAGAGAGGGGGAGGGGGAAAGGAGAGAGGAGGAGCAGAAGCAAGAGGAGAAAGCAAGAGCAAGAAGGCAAGAGAGAGAGGAGAGGGCAAGCAGCCCCTTTTATAGTGAGTCAGGCACACCTGGCTGTTGCCAGGTAACTGTGAGGTGGAGCCTAGACTAAATGCCAACAAAAGCTCATCTTTCAAACTTGAAAACCAAGTTTCCAAGGATAATGTGTTGTTATTTCCATAAAAAAAAAGTGGAAGGGGCCTTGCTGCAGCAGTCATTCTAGAGAGAAAAGACTATTCTGAACTGAACAGTGCCAAGACACTGTCACGATGGCAAAAGTTATGGAGTTTGCAACATGCAGCCACCAGTGAAGGCAGGCTCCCACAAGGCTCGTCAGGGCCCAGAAGTTAAAAGTTCTGTCCACAAATACTATAGACATTGAGGAGAAAGTTAACTGTTGCCAGAGACAGGGTCTCCTGTAGCCAAGGCTGGCCTCAAACTTGCAAGGCTAGCCTAGGACTACTGATCCTCTTCCCTCCATCCTGTAAGTACTAGGATGGCAGGTGTGCACCAGCTTAAGAGGGGTCCGTGTCTCATGGAGAAACCTGAAGCACATCCCATTATCTAGATGGTCACACTCTGTGCCACCATTTTGTGTCTCTGGGTATGATGTAGCAGGAAGAACGCATTAGCTCCTGTGTAGTTCCTACCAAAGGAGGGGGGGAGGAATATATATATATTGAAATTACTAATTAAAAAGCAGTCAGGTAAATGGAGACAGTGAGACACAGACAAGATAACTGGCCTTTACTGTTGTGTTTGAGAGAGAGAGAGAGAGAGAGAGAGAGAGAGAGAGAGAGAGAGAGAGAGAGAGAGAGAGAGGAGGGACATAGAGAGACTGAGAGAGAGACAGAGAGGGATTAGGAGTGAAAGAGCATTCAGAAGAGCACAGATGTAGCCAGATGTTACCAACTGACCAACTGGTAAATCTAGATGGGGTGTAAGTTGTTCACTGTGCTAGTCTCTCAAATATTTTTTATTAAGTTTCAAAGTTTTCCAGATAAAAGCTTTGGGAGTAAAACCAAATGATGTGTCTTGGTTAAGTTTTCAGCATTACTTTCCAAAGCTAATTTTAAACTTTGAAGAACTGAAGTGAAAAAAAAATGATTTCCCTTCTATCTAATTAAGTATGGTTAAGATCTAAGCGTAGGCACCTTCCGCTACGTGAAACAGACTTACGCATTTAAAACTATAGAGCTGGAAGACTGAACGTGTAGTGTGAGGTGCATGTAGACGTTGCAGTATAGCCAAGAGGTCTAAAAGTACACGCTTCGGTCAGAAGCGCTCTGAATTTGGATCTGACCTTGAGTACATCTGAGTGTGCCGTGTGGCCCACAGCTAAGCACTCCACCCATCCCAGCCTAGCAGTCTCAAGGTAAACTAGTAACATCCGCAGACTGTCTCTACAGCTGGGTGTATCCTGTAGCTCTCTGAGTAAATGTTCACGACATATTTGGTAAATAACATTAACTGGCTGGGTGTCACTGGCATGTGTGTGTATGTGTTTGTGTGTGTGTGTGTCAAGTGTATGCGCTTGCAGAGGCCAGAGGTCAATATCAGGTGCCTTCCTTATCTTGCTCCATCTTATTCTTTGAGACAGGGTATCTCACAGAGCTTGGAGTTCACCAATTCCTCTAGACCAGTGGTTGTAAAAGTAACTTTTATTCTCCAGATGTAATTGTCCTTTCAGAGGCTTACTTCTGGCTCTTTCTGAACTCTGGCTGGCTGGTTCAACTCAGCTGTTCTAGTCCAAACTTCTCTCCAACCTGACTGATTCAAACTGACTTCTCTTGACTTCTCTTGACTTCTCACTGAATTGCTCTGCTTAGTCTCAAACTAACTCTGGCAATCTGTTCTAATCTTCTGGATCCTTTTCATTCTCTGGCTTGTTATTCACCTGCAACCTGTCTCTGTAAAACTGTCCCAATAAAAACCTGTTCTATCAGTTTCTGTTTGTCTAACTCTGTCTGTCTCTGTTTCTCTCTCTCTCTCTCTCTCTCTCTCTCTCTCTCTCTCTCTCTCTCTGTCTCTGTGTGTGTGTGTGTGTGTGTATATGCTACTCTGTTAAGTAGCCTCTCCTTCCTGTGTGTCTCTGGAGAGTTGGGCATATCCTACCTCTGACTCATTTTGTCTGATTTTTCTCTGATCTGTCACTTTGTCTGCAACTCAAACATGGGTGCTTCTTTCTACAAACTAACTTTACCTTCATTGTTTGTGATTAAAGGTGTACACTAAGGGCATGTCAATATTCCAGCCAGAGGGAATAAAGGTATATACTCTTGCAGGAGGGGTTAATGGTGTGTACTAAGGGCACATCTGTATTCCAGCCAGATCACACAGGCATAGAAGGTCTTTAGATGTGATCTCTTGTGAGAGCAGCCATGTTGCTGGGTTACAATTCCTCTACTAGTGATTCTCAACCTTCCTAATGGTGTGACCCTTTAATACAGCTCCTCATGTGGTGGTGACCTCAACTCTAAAATTATTTTGTTGCCTCTTCATAACTATAATTTTGCTACTGTTATGAATTATAAAATATCTGGTATGCAGGATATTTGATATGTGACCCCAGTAGGGGTCACAACCCATGGGTTGAGAACAACTGATCTAGACTATCTAACCAGTGGGCTTCAGGGCTCTACCTATAGCTGCTTCTACAGCCCAGTATTACTGCAGGTGCCCTACACTTTTTCATGGATGCTGGGGAATCTGAACTCAGGTCCTGAGGAGACTTCACACTGGCATGGCAAGCACGGTACCAACTGAGCTATCTCCCAGACCCAAAAGTTAACTTACTTTTTAAAAACAGTTATTTATTTTATTTTATGCCTATGCATGCTTTGCCCATGTGTGTGTGTGTGTACACCACATGTGTGTTTCATGCTTGGGGAGGTCAGAAGATGGTATGAGATCTCCTGGAACTGGAAATGCAGGTAGTTGCAAGCTGCCATGAGGATGCTGGGAACAAAACCCTGGTTCTCTGTAAGGGCAGCCAGTGCTCCTAACCACTGAGCATCTCTCCCACCCTAACTGTTAACTTGCATCATCATCTTCTTCATCATCATCATCCTTTTCTGCTGTCTTTGCTCCTTGTTGATGTCTTTACTGGCTCTCTCACAGTCCCTTTCCTTCCCTGTCCTTAGGAGGCCCCGTGACGCAGTCAGAAGGGGATATGAGGTGCAGAGATTGTCACCTGTTTTCTTATGACCTCTCCTTGTGTACTAGCCTTATTTCTTGCTTTTCAGGAGATTCGAAGCCTTACTTCAGACCGGAAAGAGCCCCACTTGTGAACTGCTGTTTGACTGGGGCACCACAAACTGCACAGTGGGCGACCTTGTGGATCTTCTGATCCAGATTGAGCTGTTTGCTCCTGCCAGTCTCCTGCTGCCGGGTAAATGGGTGCGTCCAGAGCGTGAACAGGTGCCTGGAATGAGGAATGGCAGACACTGAATCGTTTCACTCTTTCGTGGAATGAACAAACCCGACACTGAGTCCATTCCTTTCAGCTCTACCTAGCTTTTAACATTCTGGATACCACATGCTGCTAGAGTGATTGATGCTCAGGGATTGGTCTGACTCCATCAAAGTTGGGTAGTCTTCTGCCAGGGGGCGTGTTCAGAGGGGTGGAGAACACAGCCTGTAAGGATTTATTCTTTTGAGATGTGTCACTCTCTCAACCTCATCCAGCTTCACCTGGACCGGACTCTCATCCTGGCTTCCTTACACTGCATCCCACTGTGTTAGGATGGGTCTACTGTCCTCATTACCTCACTGCTTTTCCCTTTGACAAACTAATGGATCTCAACCATTACTGTGTGAAGAATCTCCTAGACTTCTTGTGGAACGTGTAGATTCCTGGACTCGGTGCCACACATCCGTAATGAGAGTCACAGCAATGAGTTCAGTGTCTAAGATGGTTTTCATTTCTGCCTCCCCACACCTCTTTGTGTGTGTATGTGTGTGTGTGTGTGTGTGTGTTTGTGTGTCAGTGTGTGTGTGTGTGTGTGTGTCTGGGTGGGGGCCTGTGTGTGTGTCAATGTGTTTGTGTGTGTCAGTGTGTCTGTGTTTGTGTGTGTGTTTCAGTGTGTCTGTGTTTGTGAGTGTGTCTGTGTGTGTCCATGTGTGTGTGTGTGAGTGTGTGTGCTAGTGTGTCTGGGTGTGTTTGTGTGTGTGTGTGTATTTGGGTAGGAGGGGCCTGTGTGTGTGTCAGTGTGTGTGTGTTTCAGTGTGTCTGTGTTTGTGAGTGTGTCTGTGTGTGTCTGTGTGTGTGTGTGAATGTGTGTGCTAGTGTGTCTGGGTGTGTTTGTGTGTGTGTGTGTTTATTTGTGTAGGGGGGGCCTGTGTGTGTGTTAGTGTGTGTGTGTTTCAGTGTGTCTGTGTTTGTAAGTGTGTGTGTGTATGTGTGTGTGTGTCAATGTGTGTGAGCTAGTGTGTCTGGGTGTGTTTGTGTGTGTGTATTTGGGTAGGGGGCATGTGTTTGTGTGTGTGTGTGTATGTGTCAGTGTATGTGTTCAGTTGTTTGTTCTTGAGACAGAATCTCATGTTGTCTTGAACTTACAAGACCAAAGTTGAACTTGATCCTCCTGCCTCCACCTTCAAAGTGCTGGGATCACAGATGGGCACCGCCATGCCTACTGGTTCTCTATTCTTAAATGAGTAGTGTCTCCTAATTCCCTAATGGCTCTGAACCACTTGTGTAAACAAGTGTCACTCTGTCTGTTCATTATTACCACAACCAACTTCGTCTATCTTCCTGTGTTTCGTGAGGATGTAGGGCCAACGTCTGGAAGCTGCCTATGAGTCCATCTTTGCTGTAGTTAGGGTTTCTACTGCTGAAAAGAGACAACGTGGCCACATAAGGGAAACTGTTTAATTGGTGCCGACTTACAGTTCAGAAGTTTAGTCCATTATCATCATGGCTGGAAGCATGGTGACACACAGGCAGACATGATGCTGGAGAAAGAGCTGAGAGTTCTACATCCAGACCAGCAGGAAGGGAGAGAGAGAGAGAAACTGGGCCTGGCTCGAGGATCTGAGACCTCAAAGCCCGCCCCCCCCCCCAGTGACACACTTCCTCCTGGAAGGCTACACCTCCTAATAGTGCCACTCCCTCTGAGTCTATGGAGGCCATTTTCACTCAAACCACGACACTGTTTTTTCACACAAACTTCTTTCTCACACAGAAACTAACTGTGTCTTCTTGTTCAACAGATGCTGTTCCCCATACCGTCAACACTCTACCTCTTAAAGAAGCGGCAACAGTGGCACAGACACACAGGCCTTGCCATGAAAAGGACAGCACACCCATAATGCCTATACCAAAGCTAGAACACAGCTGTGAGCCACCCGACTCCTCAAGTCCAGACAATAAAAGTTTAGAATTCAGCGATACTCGTACGTAACATTGCCTGTTCCTTTCTACTGGTGCATCTGCCATTACGGTAATTTAAAGTAAACCCCTCTCTGTACAGTGGGCAGCATCCTTTGATGTTTCTTTTCTTATAAGTTTATCAAGTACCACCTTCTCTGCTTCTTTTGCTATTCTTTCAGTAACTTGAACCAACAGGATATGCGTACAGTCACAATAAGTAAGAAAAAAAACAAGTTAGCATGGGGCTATGTACCTGTGCCCCCGACACTTGGAAGGCAGAGGTAGGGAGGTCAGGAGTGGAAGGGCAGCTTGATCTGGACAGCAAATTCAAGGCCAACCTTGTCTATATGATATCGTGTCTCAAAACTAAATATATAAAGAAGATAATTGTTAGGTGTGACTAGAGTTTTGGGAGAGTTGACTAAAGTCAAATAAGTATTTTAGGTGGAGGTGGACTGTTTGATACAGAATCGCCAAGGGTTATTGTCGTACTGAAGATTACAGTTTGTATTTCATGTGAGCATGAGTATGTGTGAATATCTCTCTGTGTGTGTGTGTGTGTATGTGTGTGCATGTGTGTATATGTGTGTGTGAAATCTTCAAATTGAGAAAATGTCACAGTTATTAAAGCCACGTTTCCTTATGCCAGCACCCTTTCCCTGTTTTGTCGATGCCGTAGGGTTTCACAGTTTTTCATTTTATGAACTGAAGAGCATCACAAATAACTTCGATGAGCGGCCTGTGTCTGTCGGCGGCAACCGAATGGGAGAGGGGGGATTCGGAGTGGTGTACAAGGGTTGTGTGAGCAACAGGACCGTAGCGGTGAAGAAGCTCGGAGCGGTAAGTCGTCTTCCTTCCTCCTCTCAGAACAAGCTGCCAGCCGCCCTCACGGGATTCGTTATCCCAGTGATTACTGTCTCCAAGTGGACCCATCCTAAGCTGGTGCCTCTTGTCACGTAGGACTCTACGGAGGGCTATGAAGCCTATCCCTAGAAAAGCATATAGACACGGACATAGAATCACATTTGGGATGGTGATAGATTTACAAGATGAAGTTAAGAAACCTCCCACTACAGTGTCACATACATAATTTCGATTAAGAATAAGATGCTGAGAAAATTTTATCTGAATACTTTTGTATGACCCGTCCCATCTAAAAATATGATTTAGGTGCCAGGGAGATAGCCCAGTGGGTAAAGTGAGTCTAATAACCTGAGTTTACTCCCTGGAACCCACACTGTAGAAGAAGAGAATTGACTCTCATATATGTTGTTGTTCATGTGTGTGCACACATGTGCACACTAAATAAATATAATTCAAAAAAAATTATATAATATACACACACACACACACACATACATATTTGAGGCAATCTATAATCTTGTCCATCTTGGAACTCGTTCTGAAAACCAGGCTAGCCTGGAACTTAGAGAGATCCTCCTGTCTCTGCCTCCTGAGTGCTGGGATTAAAGGTGTGCACCACCGTGCCTGGCAGAAATAATAATTTTTAAAAATACATATTATGGAAAAGGAGTTTCCTTGTCTGTCCTTGGTTCCTGTTTCTATAAGGGTTTTTACTTGTAATTATTGATTAATTATATTATCAGTCTGTCATTCTATCTTTAAAATGTCAGTATCGCTCATGTGTAGACGGCATAGGCATCCGTTGTCACTTCCGTTGCGGGGGCTTTCGGTAGATTTGATTCTCTTTTCCTGATCACATCTGCTTCCATCTGGTTACACAGAAGTCTTTTTAAAATTTCTCTGTGATGAAGTTTTCTATTTCACGGGAAGGGCAAGGCCTTCTTCTGGTCTGAGTCTAGATGTTGGCAAATGGGCTTTAGCTAAAACCAGTTCATGTAAAAGGTGTCCCAACCTCTGTTTCCTCATCCCTGGTGACTGCAGCCGGAGACCCCTGCTCCCCTACAGAGACTGTCCCTTACCAAGATTAGCTCACTGGCATCCGAGGTCTTGCTATGCATAATAAACACACTGAGTATCTGGGTTGCCGGTATGGCTCCAGCTCACCCAATCCCTCCTTCATGTTACATATGTCTGTCTGTCCTTCTTAATCTCCTGTAGCTCCCTGCCAGATTGCCAGGACCAAGCATGCAAACCATGGCAAGACACTATTTCTATTTCTATTACTGTACTGTTATTAAACCCAGGCCTTGTATATGTTGGGCCAGCACTTCACCACTGAGCTACACCCCAGCCCTCTTAATGTCTCACTCGGAGCAAAGATCGAGTTTCAGAGGCCACCTTTGAACACACTCTGTGAGCCAGGCAGGCCTTGAACTTGACGTCCTCAGGCCTCAGCCTCCCATGTATGTGGAAGTACACTTCTACACCACCAGGCCTGGTTCATCAAGTGGTTTTAAAGTAAGCAAATCAGCCGAGGAATCTCCCTCGAACCCCCTCCAGTAGTGAGGCTATTGTATTATGTTAAAATGTATATTTTTATGTTCATAGATGGTTGAAATCAGTACTGAAGAACTAAAGCAACAGTTTGATCAAGAAATTAAAGTAATGGCAAAGTAAGTGTTGATTTTCCAGCGTGGCCTGGGGCGAGAGCACGGCATAGGGCAGGGACCTGGTTTCTCCATAAAGTGCAGATTCTCGAGTGTAAAGGTACAGGGTTGAGACAAACACTGTTGGTTCTCTGATTACATGACCTCATTTCTTCCCGCACCTGCAGATGTAAAACATCAGTGTTTTAAATCACGACAGTTACATAGGATTCAAAGTGTTTTCCATTACCAGGGTTTCCATTCCAAGAATTCCTGACAGATCAGTTGTAGCAATTTAAGGAAAAAATATATATTTTTATAAGTCCAATAATGATGGTACACTCTTGTAATGCCAGTACTTGGGAGACTGAGGTAGGATTGTGAGTTCAAGGACACCCTGTGGTGCACTGCAAATTCCAAGACAGCCTGAACTATGTAGGAAGACCCTGTCTCAAAAATAAATAAATAAATAAATAAATAAATAAATAAATAAATATAAAATGACAGCTCCTCAGAGAGTTAAAACTCATAGAAATCTAGGGATGCAAAAATGTTAAGAGTATACTGCTGCAGAGTGACCTAATCCAAGTTTCTCGAGACTCTAAAATTCAGTGGAAATGGAGAATTTGCCGATTCAACTTACTCTTCTGAGTGTTCCTTTTATACAAGGATATACAGAATTATAGGTGGCTTGGAATGAGCAAAGGGAATAGTGGAACATCTCTCAGGCGCCATGTGTGCTTCAGGTATTCATTAATTCTCACAGCATCTGTGTCACGTGATACTGTTAGCCAGCAGTACCACGTTCTGTACGCAGGGAAGCCCGAAGCTGAGGTTGCCATCGTGCCGTGCGCCACATGTCCAGGAGGTGGCAGCACTGTGCTTTCTGATGAAGCCTGCGGCTTTGTTATTCCATGGCTTTTGTACTCATTTTCTCACGTATACCAAAAATCCTAGACTGTAGACAAGCCTGTGGTTGAAGATCGTAAATAATGACGTTAAATGTGAGTGAAGCTCGTTCCTACAGAGCAGTGCCATGAGTCCATTAGAGTTTTGTTACATTAGAGGATTCATCCATGTTACAAGTTTCCAGATCTTGCAAATGCCCTGAACAAAAGATGGGCATCGGCCTCGTCCTGAACTAACCTGTCTCAGGTTCCACCGATCTGATCAAGCCGTGGGTCAGTGTCACTGAAACCAGACCATTTACAGGAAAGAATGGACAGTTCCAAAGAGAACGTTAGCAGGTTATGAACATCCACCATATTGCATGCTATATATAAGTGTATAGTTACATAGATACAGGCAGGTGTCTCCTGGATCTTTCCGCTAAAACTCTTAAATTGAGCGACTCCTACAAATGTTTATTGTCATAACAGTGTGCACGGCATGTCTCTTGTCACAGGTGTCAGCACGAAAACCTGGTGGAGCTGCTTGGCTTCTCTAGTGACAGCGACAACCTGTGCTTAGTGTATGCTTACATGCCCAATGGTTCCTTGCTAGACAGACTGTCCTGCCTGGTAAGACACTTGGGACCGATGACCTCACTTTCTGTTCCTATATTGGATTGCTAATGTTCACATCTGGTCAGGACTCAAAAAACCACATTAAACTAATATTTTCTTGTTCTGGAGAACGACGTAGTTCACGTGTTGCCCGGTATTGCACAATTAGGATGCAAAAGTGCCAGTCAAGGCTAGATGTTGAGGACATTCTGGTGTGTTTTTATATTCAAGCAAGATGTGTAGAGTCCATTTAATCTTGTTTGAGATTTTTTTTTCAGATTTTAAAAATTATAACCTCTTAGTGATACATCCCTTTTATCGGCTGACAATATATATATATATTGTTATGTGTTTTCTCTGGATTTCTTTTTTTTTTTTTCACCTAAACCATTGTTTAAAATCAGTTTGTTTCTTCACAAGGATGGTACTCCACCACTCTCCTGGCACATGAGATGCAAGATTGCTCAGGGTGCAGCAAATGGCATCAGTTTTTTACATGAAAATCATCACATTCATAGAGATATTAAAAGGTAAGGATAGCGTCAGAATTGCTGGAAATTAGCATCTTTAAAGGATAATTTTCTCCCTTTCCATTTGCATGTCTGTCTTGATGTACAGTGACTGGAGTCTCCCCTTTCACTGGAGAGCTCTTTGCAGGCAGACACCTACGATCCCCAGTGTTCCAAGCACCATGACCTGCTTTTTCCTGAATCACCTTCAACCTCCCCACTCATGTTATTTACCTAGTTAAATATTTACCTGCTATATGCCAGACATTGTACACAATAAGGTTATCGGATGTAGCTCAGAACAGAGTCCAGCGTCAATCAGATAGTCATGAAAATAATGTGTTTCAGGTGTTTAATGTAGCACTCAGTATTGGTAGAATGAAGGGATCTTGAAAGAAGCGACGTTTACGCTGAGACCTGAACAATGACCAGGAAATAAGAAGACACAGGTTGAGGGTTGCTGCATCCAAAATAAGGAGAATATTCTGGAAAGAATAAGCGTATAGGGTGAACGGTAAGAAGGAATGGGAAGGCGTGGTGAGTCACAGGAAGTGAAATGATTACAGTGTGACTGGTGTTCGGGAAGTAGCGGGTAGAAGACATGAGAGGAATTTAAATAGATGACTGAGGACCCTGGTCCTATAGCGCCTGGCCAACAAAGGCAAGGGTCTGATCGTAAACGCAACGGGATGCTATTGGAAGCCATACACCAGCATCATATTCAAGTTTAGCGAGTCACGTCTAGGGCGGTGCAGTTTAAAACCGGGGTAAATAATTAGATTGCTATAGACACCTTGGTAGAGTTCCCATGAGCAGAAGTGAGCAAATGTGAACAATGAACATGACATGTTTTTATCTGAGCTGTGGAGGGTCGAGGAAACGGGGTGGGGGTTCAATAAGGACCTTTGAACTCACGGCATCCACAGTTGCATTCGGGAAATGACTGTGGCATGACTCACCTGAATAGAAAGGACTGGAAGGGGTCTAGGCTGGGGTGTGCTTAGGAGAGGTGTGTGCGCTGAGTTTGAAATTCTTTTAAGGTACGGAAGTATAGAGGCTTAGTGGATAGTATGATATATACACAGTCTGAGCTGAACATATAAACACGTATGGCACTTGCATGTTCCTGATGCTTGATGAGTCATCATGCAATTAGGGAAAGATACAGCGTAAGGGCCCAGGGTTTAAATCCCAAGGACTCCTAAGACATAATCCCCAAACAAAGGGAGGGCAACAGTCACCAAAAGACACCTAATAAACAATATGGACACATAGGTAGATGAAAGCCTGTTCGTGTAGTGTTGGAGTGTACCGTCTCCAAAATAAAATGGAGTTTTTACCTAGAGGAGTGGTCAGAAGAAAGTTAACCCATCGGGTTAATACCACGCAGGTCGGTGGTGACTTATGGAGAACCGTTTCCAGTTAGGAACTGAGTTAGAAGCCAGGCTGTATGAGGAGAGAGGAAGGAAGCCGGGAGGGGGTGTAAACAGACGTTTTATGCTATCTTATGATAGTGTGACACCTGAAGCAGATAGGTCATTTAGGAAACCTTTAGTCTGGCCAAGGCCAGTGCGTGCTTACAGGGCCGTGAAAAGGACCTAAAGGTAGCGAAAGGATACAATAGAGGAAAACAAGACAATCCATAAATGAAGGGAAAACAAGGAGCCACAGAGGAGCGGGCTGGTTCGGAGACTCGCTCTTGCTCTCGCTCTCGCTCTCGCTCTCTCTTTTGGTTTTTCAAGACAGGCTTTCTCTGTGTAGCCCTGGCTGTCCTGGAACTCACTCTCTAGACCAGGCTGGCCTCGAACTCAGAAATCCGCCTGCCTCTGCCTCCCAAGTGCTGGGATTAAAGGCGTGCGCCACCACTGCCCAGCGACTATCCTGTTTCTTATGTGCTGGGAATTTGCTTATGGTCTTCCGTTCTTCTTGTGTATTCTATATCTTACTGATGCAAGGTTTACCAGGTGTGCCTGAAAATCTGCACCTTCCATCTAGCCCCAAGATTCTACCCATTTAGGCATTTGTTAACTTTGATCAACTTCATTTCAAGCCCTCCTTCCCGATAGAACGAGTTTGTACTAGGCCCTGATTCAGTATACACACACACACACACAGACAGACAGACAGACACACACACACACACACACATCCCAGGGTGCACAACGGAAGAACAGGTGGAAGATTGCAGTGGTTTGGTTTGAAATTTGTTCCTAAATGTACTGAGAAATGTTAGGAAAGGAGTTAAGAAGTTACCTTTGACTTATCTCAAACCCTGACACAGAAAGACAAATATCACATGTTCTCACTCATTTCTAGAAACTTATCCCAGGGAACTTTGGAACACAGGAGTGTTGGATAGGAACAGGAGGTCAGGAGGGGAGACAGACCTGTCATTAAACAAGGTTGAGCCATGGCTTCTGAGTCTTCCTCCGCTCAGTAGAACTACAGGCTAAGACAGGCTGCGAGGTCTCTCTGTGTGCCTGTGAGAACACACAATCCCAGCACATGAAAATGGCTGGTGGCTGTAGAGGCTGACATGCTTCCAAGCCCCATGTGACTCTTACATACTGTGGACAAGACTGAACTGCCATGATGTACTACGTAAGACAGACAAATATACCCCACTGGAAAGTTGAATTATAAAAAGAACCACTTTTAGGTGGTGCTTTGTTTTGTTAAATGATAAAGTTATTTTGGCAGGTGGCATTTTATTATATATGGTAGTATATAGTGGTTGTTTACTTTTTACTGTTCAGAGCAAGTAAATATCTGAAAATGTTGCATTTAAAATAAAAAAATGAAGGTTAAATTATTTCCCAAAAATGGTGCTTTGACTTAGGGATATAGCTCCCTAGTAAAGCCATTGTCTAGCTTCAGTGAAACTGTGGAGTATTTAGTCACCAGAATCATTTTTAAAAAATTATTTAAGAGAAAGTGCCATTTGGAAGGCTTTGTGTGCTGTTACTAGTAAATAGCTACCCGTGGCATTCTGAAAATGCACCTCCCTTAAGGGGAAATTTATTATGTTTTTATTCTCTTAAACATCTTCAAGACAAGAACAGAGAACAATTATTTTTTTCTTGCTGTCATATGAATAATTGACTGATTTGAAAATATTTCAGTCTTCTCTACTGTACATATAAAATGGCATGCAGTGTGACTACATATGTGTGTATATATGTAATGTTTAATATGTAATATGTAATATATAATATAACATATAATGTATAATATATGATATATAATATGTATAATATGTAATATGTAGAATGCAATATATAATATATAAATATAAAATATAAAATGTATAATATATAATATAATATATAATATATAATATATAATATATAATATATAATATATAATATATAATATATAATATATAATATATAATATATAATATATAATATATAATATATATTACATATACCTCTTCCTACGAACCTGTTGGACATCCTAGATAAGAAGAATGTTTTCTACCTTCAAATTTAATTTGTTTTCCAGTGCAAATATCTTACTAGACAAAGACTTTACTGCGAAAATATCTGACTTTGGGCTTGCACGGGCGTCAGCGAAGCTCGCACAGACAGTCATGACTAGCAGAATTGTGGGCACAACGGCTTATATGGCACCTGAAGCTTTGCGAGGAGAAATAACACCCAAATCTGACATCTACAGCTTCGGTGTGGTACGTGACCATTGTCTTTATTGATCTGCACGTGTTTTTATAGTGTATGTATGTGCACATCCCACAGCATACACACATCAAGGGCCTAAGGGTAGCTTTAAAAGGGAGCTAGTTCTCTCCTTCCACCATGTTGGTTCCGGGGATCAGATGCAGGTCACCAGGCTTGGTGGCAAGCACCTTTACTTTTTGAAACCATCTTTCCAACCCACGATCATTCTTTTTAAATCATGAATTAAATCAGAATATCTTAGTGCTTGTGTCTTTTTTTTTCCTCTCTTATATAAATATATAAACTATTCACATTGGCCTCTAGGTACACCAGAAAGTTTATGAGCGATTCCCTACTCTGTAAAAGGTTTGAGTTGCTTTCTTTTTAACGACTGGGAGAAAATATTGTCTCACCATGAATCTGAGTGAAGCTTAAACTGAGCCCGCGAACCATCAATCGTGTCACATAATGTCGACTTCTTTTCTCTTCCCTTTTCTGTCATTTTATCATCTAACAGCCAGCGGCGGAGAAGGCGAGGTCAGATGAATGACGCTTAGTCTTCATCTTCATTCTCCAAACAGGTTTCCTTTATGGGAACTTCACTGCACCATAATGTTGAGGCACGGGGTTGCAAAATGTAGCTACTGGTTAGAAAATTAAGATTCTCCTGAGGGCCCTGTAGGATGAAAGAGCATGGAGATCCCAGAAGAGATGTTGAGTATAGCTTCTTTGATCCTTATATCCTGTCAGTATCTATGCTCCAGGCCACTGGTGTTAGCACAAGAAAGCTTCGCTTAGCTGGTTCAAGTCCCTGGGCTCTGTCTATGTTTCTTTTAATTTCGACTTGACGTCTCCAGTGTTTTGCTAATGGATCCCTTTGCCTTTCTAGGTTTTGTTAGAGCTGATAACCGGACTTGCGGCTGTGGATGAAAACCGTGAACCTCAACTACTAGTTAGTAACTAACTCTTTTTTGCCTGTTCTCTCCTCTCTTGCCTTTATGGTCTTGGATGTGTGTGGGTAACTCTGGCACATAGGAATGGCATTTTCTGACATAATACTGGTTATGTGTACTGACACACTGACAGAGCATGATGTATTTCCAATCCTGGGTTTGCCAGGCTGTGTCTGTGATGCCTGAAGAGGTCATTCTTATATTCTTTGTCACAGTGTCTTTGCGGGCAAATGAGAAGAAAGCTTGTTTACCTGTAGTTTATTACCTTCCGATTTACGATTTATTTTATTTTATTACGATCTGTAGTGTACAGGCCCTGAGTGGTGAGACTACTTTAAGGTCATGAGAGGAAAAAAAAAAAACCACAGCTTCTGTTCATATCTGCATACGGATGTAAATGCCAGTAAAGGCTCTTTATTTCGTTGTAGAGTGTTTTACTTGCAAAATTAAAACACTTCCCTCCTGCAGTACCATTCCCAGCCTTCTAGTTTCTATATTGAACATTTGATTGATAATTTATAGCTAGATGAGTTAAATGGTAAGTAAACTACAGATAAACTATGCTACGTCACATATATATCTTCAAAAATACCTAGATACATATCATATATATATATATATATATGTGTGTGTGTGTGTGTGTGTGTGTGTATATATATATATATATATATATATATATATATATAAATGTTTCTCAAAATTGACAACTAAATTCCTTTTATTCTAATTGATTTACAGACCCTAATAGAGCAGAACACTATGAAGAATTCAGACAGTAGGTATATGCTAGATTGTGTCCCAGAATTAGGGTAGACCATCAGAAGGTTTGACTTCCTTGTTCAATCTTGGCACCAGAACTGGAGAGATGGCTCAGCAGCCAGAAGCTCACAGGGCTTTACTGGAGGCCAAAGTTTAGTTCCCAGCATGCGCGTTAGGTGTCTCACAACTGCCTGTCACCTGAGCTGCAGGGGCTGACACCTCTGACCTCCATAGGCACCTGAGTACTTGTGGACATGCCCACATAAAGACACACAGAAATACAAACAGACAATTAAAGTAGAACTTGGAAATGACAGCAGATGTCTTAGTGCCAACACTAATCTGAGTAAACCGTCGTGTGAGAGACTGTTACAAACATCCACCATAAAACAAAGATGTCCATGGTCTGCTGGAAATGTAATGTTAAAATAGCATGTGTAATATATTTACATTGGAAGATATTTATGAGAATATTCTAATGGCATTCAATTTTTAAAACAGCAAATCAAAAAGTAAAATATTTCATTAACCAGAAATATAAAATTCTCCGTCCCATCAGTTGCTGGAGGTCAAGAGAGAGAGGCCTGAACCGGAAATGTTCATGTTTGAGCTATTCGTATAAGGACATAGATAAAGTTTGGGGTGGGAATTGGATTAAAACCATAAACATGAGAAATACAGAGGCCAGTGAGACGTTCAACACGTAAAGGTGCTGCCAACTAGCCTGACCTGAGTTCAGTCTTTTGACCTGAAAACTGATTCTTTCAAGTTGTCCTCTGACCTACACACATCTCCAAATAAATAAATAAATAAATAAATAAATGTAAAATTACTTTCTTATAGGAAGTATTTAGCTGTACAGGTTGGCTGGCAGAACTCTTGCCTGGATTGCACAGGTCCCTCCACAGAATCCCTAAGACCAAAAAAGCAAAAAGCAAACAAAGCCTCGCAAGACAAGGGGAGAGATACTGGTTTGGGGTGATCACCCACGCCTCAGCAAACTGGGCTTGTTTCAGGCAAGCTTGCCTATAGAAAGGCCTACCTACATCTACCTAGATCTCTCTCCCCTTCAGAATGTGTAAAAGCCACCACTTTGGCTCGAATAAGAATGAAACACAGGATCTCTGTGACTCACAATTTTGCACAGCATCATTTAATAGTGAAAGTATAGAAATCAGGGAGCATTATACCTTTGAGTGCAGTGTGGCTAGAAAGTGCTAAGATTGTGACATAAACCCAGCTAAGAGTGCTCTATCAGGGAGCCTTTCCTCCATTGCCTGTGTGGTTTCACAATCCATTCTTTTTGGAAGAGTTTTGGAATAGTACACACCGCCCCTCACTCATAATCCTTTCTTTCAATACAAGTTTCCTTGAACTACTACAAAATATACCACGAACTGGGTCTCTTGAAGTAAAAGAGATACAGTGTCTTGGTAGAAGTCCGAAGTCAAAGTTTGGTAAGACCGTGAGTCCCTCTTGAGGGTCCAGCGGAAACTACTCCCCGCATCTTACAAGTTCTAGTGGCTTCTTGTAGCTTTGGCTTATAGACCTGTCGCTGTGGTCTCCGCTGTTGGTGGTCACATTTTTCTCCTGGGTCTTTTTCTTTTCCTCTCACATATATGTATACACTTGGCATCGAAGTTAGAGCATAGTTGGATAACTCAGTGTCTTAGTCACTGTTTTATTGCACTGATAAAACACCATGATCCAGGCAACACACAGAAGAAGGGGTATATCGGGACATTCGGTTCCAGAGTCTTTTGTGGCAGGGAGATACGGTAGCAAGTGGCAGGCATGGTTGTAGGGGCAGGAAGCCGATGACTTCCATCTTAAACCACGCATGCAGAGCATAGAGTGAACTGTGAATGGAGTAAGTTCTTGAGCTCTCAAAGCCTGCCCGCTGTGACGTACTTCCTCCACCAAGGCCACGCCTCCCAGGCCTCCCAGAGAGCACCACCAAATGAAAACCAAGAACCTATGCGAACGTTTGGTGCAAAGCACTACACTCAAGATGACCTCCCGTTTCAGAGATCTACAGAGATCATTTTTTTTCTACACGAGGTCCTGTTTATGGACTCCAGGAACCAGGACGCAGACATACACAGATCCATGTTTCTGGAGCCACCTCTCAACCTACCATTCAACCCACAGCGCCATCTCCTCCTCATTCATCTCCCAATCTCTCCCTCCTTGTTTTCTATGTATCCTTCTGAGTCCCTGTAGATAAAGACAGGGTGCCTGGATCCAGAAGGTGGAATTCCATTTTCAGACATACATCAAGAAGCTGATGACCCTGAGCTGGCAAACGCTGCCAACAAGAATGCGAGCAGTTAGCTCATCCCAGAAAGACAAGAATTATAAAGCAGATGGGCAGGCGCACATGTGAATAAAGCCAGTAAATCTGTAATGTGTGCCTATGTATATATTTCCTTATGTAACATTTGACCTGTATGGCTCCAATTCCTGATGAAGCTACAAAAAAAAAAAAAAAAAAAAAAAAAAAAAAAAAACCCTGAATCTAAATAATTTAAATGTATATTCTTATTTCTCTACCTTTGAAGCCTTTAACCAAGTTTTAATATCGTTTTCAAGCTGGATATTAAAGAAGAGATTGAAGATGAAGAGAAGACGATTGAAGATTATACCGACGAGAAGATGAGCGACGCAGACCCTGCTTCCGTAGAAGCGATGTACTCTGCCGCTAGTCAGTGTCTGCACGAGAAGAAAAACAGACGGCCAGACATTGCAAAGGTATTCACTTCCGAATCCACACACACAGTGAGGGGTGTGGTGTGCGTTATCCTTTTCTAAGTATCCGTTTCAAGCCATGCTTAACGTGGTTCTTTTGTTCTCTTTGTTTTTGGAAGGTTCAGCAGCTGCTACAAGAGGTGTCCGCTTAAAACTAATGAAGTAAACATCTTTTTTTTTTAACCTGAAGACCAGAAAAGCTCTTTGACACTGAGCTACTTCACCTGCCTGTTGTTTTCGTTTGTTTTTGTTTTCCTAAATGCGCTTTATCTTTACCAAGGCAGCATGGCGCAAAGTACTGATTAGCCGATGGATGTGTTGGCAAAAGTGATGGTTGCGTGATAGCGCTTGGACCCGCCTACCTAGTATGGCGCTCATTTTCCACAGCAACATCACCAAACTCCAGTGAACTCCAGAGTCAGAAAGCAGCACTGTACTATGCAGAAACACTAGGATTGTTTGGGGGATAGAGGGAGTGAGACAGGGTTCCTTTGTGTATCCCTGGATGTCCTGGAACGTGCTCTGTAGACCAGGCTGGCCTTGAACTCAGCAATCTGCCTGTCTCTGTCTACTTTGTGTTGAGATTAAAGGTATGTGCCACCACCGTCCAGCCTGGGATCCTGGTTTGAAGCTCAGCAGACCCCACTAGTAATTTCCTGTAAAGCTTCGGACCAGCTCTCAGCTACCTTAAGCCTTAGTTTTGGTTTTTGTCTTTTGTTATGGACTTCATGCTCCTGTAAATAGCTCCTCACCTAGGTTTCTGTGAGGAACCTCTCCCCACTGTTTCTGTCACCCTAACTAAAAGTCAACAATGTAGACACGAGTGGAATCTATTCTTCGCTCTGTTATTGGGATCCTGTTTTGAATGAACAGAGCTTTTTGCTTGTCTCCCCCAGAAAAAGTCACATATTTGGTACTATATGTGGGGCGTGACAGTACCAATGGTGTGTTTGGGGGTGGGGGAGGGGATCTTGTATCGTCTCTGCAATGGGCCTTGAGACGTGTAACTGAGGCCGAGCTGTGGGAGGCGGGGAGCACTTAAGGGGGCAATTCCGACATCATCCTTCCCCGTGTGGCAACAATGGTAGGCTCCCTTGCTGTATAGTGATGGTACCACTCCTGCTGAAGTAAAGAGACATGTAATTCCCACAGAGCCACTCCACCTGCAGGAGGAGTGTCTGTAAGGAGAGTTCCGGAGAGGCCATCTTCCTCTGTCATCGGGCAATGGCATGCCTCTTTAAGGAATGGGATCAGCCGTTCTGTACTACAGCGCTTGAAGGCAACACAGATAGGATGGGGCTGTAAGCGCCCTGTGGCATCACTAAGACACGCCACTAAAGCTGAGCTGTCTGTCCCAGCTTGCCTGTTTAAGAAGGGAATTACAATCAGAGAAAGATGCAGATGGTATGTCTCTTCTGCGCTATCCTCTGTATTGGCAGGTAAAATGAGAGAGAGAAAAACAGAGAGAGAGAGAGAGAGAGAGAGAGAGAGAGAGAGAGAGAGAGAGA